GTCGAGTCTTACACTACGGGCAAGCCTATAGTACGAACTTGGGTGGCACATGAGTTAATTTCTTTGCGAGAGTGAGCGAATTCTTTTAATATGTGAGTCCTTAAATTATATTTGAATTCATGTTTGAGTGTGCGGACTGATTACTCTCTTTGCTTTGTTGGTGAGGGCACATGTTTTACGACGAATTGGTAAAGAACTCATATCTTTAGTGGGCACAAGAAGCGAGTCATATAAAGGAATGTAGTGGAGTCAATTTTTGAGGCTAGGATGTTAGAAGAGTCACACAAATATTTTAATTAGTCTTAGCATTGGTTTAGTAATAAGAAAAAGTGTGAAGGGTGCTTATATCGGGTTCTAAGCGTCGATAGAAACCATTATCATTGATATGATACTTGAGTATGCTTTGGAACTGTGTTACTTGTCAATGTGCTTAATTTTAAGTTGCTCGAGGACGAGCAAGAGTTTAAGTGCGGAGTAGTGATAAATGATGAAAAATACATATTATTTCTTATGTGAGTTGCGGGAGATTACATGTTTATAAACATAAAATATGCTCATTACATGTTTATTGTATGTAGGAATGAATTTGTATGGAAGTTGGCAAGAATTGGATGATTTGATGCAAAAAAAGAGTTGAGATGCAAGACATGGGAGCGTGCCACAATTGGTGCGTTGCATGAATGTAGGCGCGAAATGGCCTAGAAGATGAGCAACAAAATAGTGAAGTATGGAGGTTGGCACTGGACCTAGCACGCGAAAGGAACAAAGAAGAAAAATGAAATAACTGGGAGCGTGCTAGAAGTCGCACGTTGCACCAACTCTAGCACGCGACTCAGCGTGTCCTTTTCGAATTAGGAGAGATCAAGGACGCCCCACATCAACCCTAATTGATATAAATACATCATAAACCGTCATTTTAAAGGGGGAGACACTACTTTAGGGTAAGACAACACCTAAGGAGGCAAGAATACGCGAGAAGCAAGGAGAAAAATTCAATCACGGGTTTTTCCCCTTCTTCTTCCTACTTTTCATTGTTGGTTATGACTTTTAGTATTGTAGTTTTACATACTATTATAAGTAACTAATTAATTATCTAGAGTTTTGATGGAACCTCTTGGAGGATGAATTCTTGTTATGTTTTAATATAATTTAACCTTTGGATTTATCTACTTGTTCAACTACGTGCTTATTTCAGTTGATTGAATGACCATCGATTGACTATGCCTATTTATTATGTGTTTCTTGAGAAAGGATATATATTTAGGTGGTTGTTGAACAACGTCACTCCTAACGTATGTGAGAAATCAATACATCGGGTTTAAAGGTAGGTTTAGAAATAACAAAGCCTTGACGTGGCCATAGTGAGCGGTTAGATAAAGTAAACTAGCGTACTTCGAGAGAATATGTCTAGTAAATTTTCGTAGTTACTCGAGAGAGAATTACGGCACCTAAAGTGCTCACGATCAGTAGAGAATACATAAGCGAAATTGTAGGAAACATAGCGGGAAGGATTCCAACAATTGGGAAAATCATAACTCTAGACCTCCTTAATCTTGCTCCAACCTTTAGTATCTTACTTGCTAATTTACTATTTTAATTTGTTAGCTAATTAGTTAGATATAAGAATCTTAATATTTATAACTTAGGAATTGTTCGAGCTTGCCTTATTGGTGATATTGAACAGTTATAGCAAAACCTTAGTTCTCTGTGGGATTCGACTCCGGACTTTTAGACCGGATCCTTTTTAAGATTAGAGTTGGGCGTGATCAATAACGTATATTGAACACTCTTTATCGGAATTTTTTTTTTTCACTTTGCAAGTTTGAACACCCTTGAAGAAATTCTTGGCTTCGCCATTGATTATACCCTTCCATATCAAATAAAATCAGATTACAAAATCATATTCTTGCAGAGATGGATTTCCAGCCAAACAAAAACCCTCCCCGCTGCTTCCATTAAACGGTTTTAACTGGTAAATAATGATGGCTAGAAAACGACATCCTTCTTTCAACAAGTTCCGGGTGAGATCACAATCAATACTATTTTTGGACAATTTCAAATCCAGTGGTTCGATATTAATTAACGTCCATATTGTTTTAGATACAATCAGCAATCGTGGCTTATTTCCAAGAATAGCACACAAGTCAAACTCTTCCTATAATCGATCATTAAAGAGCTTGCATATGATGTGGTTTTGCTCTGTTGTTTCATCTCCACAGTCTATCTTCCCTAAACTTTTTAGATCTATTAAGCCTTAATTGAACCGCTCCACGTATCTCTGCTTCATACGATGTCCCTCACTTTCTCCTGTTGATTGGTAACCCATCTTATTTCTCTCTTGTTTTTTTTGAAATTTGGTGAATTTTGATTTTTATGATTAACAAATCTGGTATTTGTATTGGGTTAGTTGAAGGAACTGGTCCAAAGCGCTGGCACTTAATCCTAACCGGAATATAATTCACTTTTGCATGAGATATTTCTTGCTGGAAGAGAATTAAAATTGGAGTAGGAAACAAATAAAAAAAGTGTGATCATATATGATAAGTTCTTTACGAAGTAACTCTCTTATTATTGGTACCAACTTGTTACTTATATGTAGTCTAAGTTTATTTCATTCTTACGTGCACTTTTATTATTTTTTCATAGCAATTTGGGAGAAAAGCAAGAAAAAATGAGTTCAAAGTTCTAAACGCGCGGATATTGAATCTGGAACGTGCAGAAAACTAGACAGGAGAACTTGTTTCTTGATACATTGTCAAATTCATCATGTCTAGTCTAGTTCATTGTATTAGGCTTATTGAGTTGTAACCTTATTTGCTTATACAAGAAGCGATTTAAGAGGTTTTTCTCTATTAGAGAATTAAAGTCTTAGGTTAGAGTTAGCTTGACGTTCTGCTACAATCAATTGTTGTAGACAGTTAAGTGGCTAGGATTTAGTTGTTTAAATTTTAAGAATTTTCTAACCTGAAATTGCTCGTTGTTTTAGTGAAGTTCTTTGAGAGAAATACCAAAAGTGAGTCGTGATTTTTCCTCCCTTGAGGAAGAAGGTTTTCCACGTAAAAATCGCATATGTATTTAGTTCTACACTTTACTATTTCAATTATTTAACAAAGGAGCGTATATAAAAATAAAATTCTTATACATGTGTCTAAGTGATATACCAAATTAACAATGTTTGCTCTTGGATATTTTGTATTAATTGAATTCTTCCTTATGTGAAAAATGGTACGATTAGGATACTTTTAGGGCCCGTTTGGACATAAAATTTGGTTGAAGATTTTTCCAAAAAAATTTCGCTCTTTTCTGAAATCAGCGTTTGTTCATAAAATTTTCAATTTTTACTTGAAGATGCATTTTGGAAATTTTCGAAAATTTAAAAAACTGCAAAAAGTTATTTTTTAAAATTCACTTAAATCACTTACAAAACTTCAAAAACAACCCAAACTGAAATTTATGTCCAAACACAACTCTAAATTTCAAGTATCATTTTCACTCGAAAAACTTTTTCGCCATTTTTTCGAAATTTACAATTCTCATGTCCAAACGCCTACTTAGTTTTGCAATTGGGTCAATGAAAATATAGCCCTTCTAGTATTAAAATAAAAGATTAGTGGGGAGGGTTTTTCCAGCTGGAGTTCCATCTCAGCACGAATATAATACTTTAAATCTGACTTTTGTTGACATGGTACTCCATTAGTTTGGAGGGGTATAAATGAGCTCCTTCGTAATTAATAGATGGAAGATAAAATTATTTTATTTCTAACCGTTCATGGACATTTTTGGCCTTTTTGCGAAATTAACTAAGGCTTCGAACCAATTGGGCCAAAAAGGTGATTCTATATGCTGATCAGTCGGTTACAGTGTAATACTTGAACTGGCCACTCCAATGGCAGGACAAATTCAGTCCTAAAACCTTTTAAATCGGAAATGATTACACATCGGTTAATAAGAATATAAGTAGCGTATACAAATCGAACCGAAAAATCGTACCAAATCGAAAAGTCAAATAACCCGATTAGGTTTGGTTTGGTCTTGAGTAAAAAAAACCTGAACCAACCGACATATAAATATATACTAATTTTTATGTAGAATTTTCTTTAAAAAAATGTCTAGAAATATTTGAGATTCTCTTGCAGAATATAATATTTAATAGTATATGAAGTGCTCCATATTTATTAATCTTAAATAGTGGGTTGTATGATCACGTTCTTTCAAATGTTACTGAAATGCGTCAATCTCTTTGTCCTTCCATATTCGTATCATATGTTAAGATCTATTAAATTCTTGTATCTTTTTTCGAATGTAAAGTGATTATTATTATTTAGGTATCATATTGATTTTTATGTGTAATTACCAAATTCGGTTAACATTGAAAATATACATCAACGAAAAATTATTGTCAGACGACTAAAAAAATAATTATTATGTGTTACTAAGAAAATTCTCCCATAAGAATATTTTAATAGATAATATATTTGTCAATTTTTTATAATTTTATTAAACATATATTTACTTATAAAAAATTTAATAAAATAAGATTGAAATAATATTTAAGTAACAAAAAATCCAAAAAATCTGACAAAACCGAACCAATCCAAACCGATATGGTTGGTTTGGTTTGATTTTGATAAAAATCGAACCAACCCGGTCCATGTACACACCTAATTACCAGCTATTAATATTAAGTTTCTTGCATTTTAAACACGTAATTAAGCTATGTTCTATTCAAGAGGTTTGAAAGACCTAAGCACCCCTATAATATAAGGGAACACATATTCAGCTTATGTGCTAAGAGAGAGATAAAAGTGATAGGTTCATAAAACTAAACCCACATGACCATTTAGGAAATGGTCCTTCACGGCAATAGATGAAAGAAAGTTCCATGTGTAATAAATATAGTGAAAGAACTGAAAGGTCCCTCCCTACATTTTGTGGAACTGAAGTAATAGCCTCCACAAAAACGCGTAATTTTAAATTCCTTTTTGAAAATTTTCGATTATTTCAAAAGCTTCAAAGCCTTGAAAGCAGATAACTCTCCTTTATTTTCCATCGACTTCATATGCAGAAAAGTCAAGAGTCCAATGACAAAAAGTTGTGAAGACTTCAAAGACTGAAAAATCGGATTGAATCTTCCTAACAAAATGAGCACAGCCATTCTATTTATACCACGTTAAGCTAGCTTTTGAGTAGATGTGGATGGGGAAGACAGCTATGAGTTTCTTGAAATGGCTGGTCATTCTAATATTCCACTTTTACTACCTTTTCTACCTCAGCATAGCACAGCCTAATTTCACTTTTCAATCGCCATGTGAAGGTAATGAGACAGAGTACTCTCCGAATGGTGCATATGGCACAAACCTTAACACAGTCCTCTCCTCTCTTTCACGTAACATAGATAGTGATGGGTTTTATAATACTTCCATAGGCCAAGATCCCAACAAGGTTAGTGTCATCGCTCAGTGTAGAGGAGATGTCGATTTACAAACATGCCGTGATTGTATAAAAAATGCAACTCGCTTGATTTTAGAGGTATGTCCTCACAAGAAATCCGCCTTTGGTATTTATGATAAGTGTCTGATAAGATATTCGAATGTGTCCTTCATAGGCACCGTCTTAACTGACCCAAAGAAAATTTATTATTACAACCAAAATTTCTCGAACCCCCAATTGTTCTTTAACCGATATCTGACACCCGTGTTGGAAAGTTTACGAAGTCGAGCTTCAGAGGGCGGGAAGCGTAAGTTTGCGACCAATATTACTCTTGCCCCAGATTTTGTGACAGTATATGCACTTGTACAGTGCACAGCCGATTTATCAGCTGACGATTGCTTCAATTGTTTGACCACTGGCTATCAAACTTTACCTGGTTGTGAGTGTTATGCAAAGCGGGGAAACTACTACTTGATGCCCAGCTGCATTATTCGGTATGAACCTTACTCTTTCTTCAACGAGTCATTTGCTGAAGCTCCGCCACCATCGCCACCACCTGCCTCATTGCCACTGCCACCCCCAGCTTCACCGCCACTGCCACAACCAGGTATTTGAAATCCTCTAATGGAATTGTTAGCCACTTCATCTTTGTATTCAGCTTCTGGGGACACGCTATTCAAGTCGAGCCTCTTATTTTGGCCTCGGCAGCAAAGAAGATCCAGATCCCCCGGCCATAGCTGTTCTCCAAGAGGAGTGACTGAGATTTAATTTATGTATACTCACAGTGTAAAGAAGCGTTTATACAATAAGTGTATTTTAACATGTCCTGGTAGTTTAAGTAACTTATTTTCCAAGATATTGATCACAATTATCTGTGACTTGAGAGGCCAAAATTGTTNTTCCTAATGTAGACAGGTGGATCCAACAAATATACAGGATGTATTTTACGTATTGTGTTAGACTTGGAGTTTTATAAATGTACATGGAAAATTTAAAGATGAATTGTAAAGATATGTATATATATATATATATATATATTTAACAGGATTAACTGAATTGTTGACCATAATTTTACTCATATACCCTATGGTGCTTGTAATTTGGTCATTATAAAATATTTTGCCTAGTTAACATATGTATATATAATTGTTTGCAACAAATTATTTGTGATACAAAAATAAATTGTAACCACAATATAAATACGAAAAAATATAATTTTATTGATAAATGTTGCGGGTATAATTCTGTTTATCCCTTGATTCTTCCCTCCGATTTGTTATCTGTATGAATTTAGCATGATATGCATCCCCTTGATTATTTGATGATCAAGAAGCATGTAGCGTATATTTGATCTCTTTGTGCATATTCCGTGAGTTTATGGGATTTTGAGATATCTGTTTTTGAGATCTTTTTTAAGGGATTATATAACCTTTTTATATGAGTGGCCTAGGGCTAGGGTAGAGTAGCTTTCAAGATAGGGTTTTGGTAGAGCAGACTTTAAGCAACCCTCATAGACTCCTAGAATTTCAAGAGTCGTCTTGTAGTATCTTGAATTTTTGGATTTAGCTTGATCCGTTAAAATTTTGATGTATACAATAATTATATACTTCAATTCAAATTGCTATTTTTGTTAACATTACGTGAGAAGTGAAAAGAACTGTAGAAAATAAGAATAGTCAGTGTTGTAAATTTGTAATTTTTCTTGAATTATTCTAGAGAGGAAAAAAAATCTAAGAAGAAGAGGTATTATCTTTTTGTCTTTTATTGAGGGTTAGAAACTATGAGATCTTTTGTGTTTTAAAAAGGAAAATTTGTGTTTATAAGTTAAGTCGACAGCTACAATTTTCTCCTTAAACTTTTAACATCATTACATATTGCCTATTTGATTTTGTGATGTGGAACTTTGGGTAGATGCATTTGATCATGCTTTTACATGAAAAAGTATTTGCTAACCTAATACTAACTTGAAGCATTTTTGTAGGGAAGGATGATAAAACCGCACGAACTGTCATCATTATTGTTGTGCCCACTGTCACAGTTATTATTTTTATTGTTTGTATTCCTGTCATCTTGATGAAGAGGCGAAAGAGGAAGTTGGTGGACAAAAGAGAGAGTAAGTGTGGCGTATTAACCTACAATGATTAAGGAAAGTTGAATTTAATTGAGACCATGTTTCACTAATTTGTTCTGTGCTATTACTACTACGTTGGTGAAGGTATACATGTGGATGATATTAGTACTGCAGAATCCCTGCAATATGATTTTTCTACAATTAGAGCAGCAACAAATAACTTCTCAGATGTTAATAAGTTGGGACAAGGCGGATTTGGTCCTGTGTACAAGGTGATTATATTAAATTTACTTATTGTTGCATGAGTTTAACTTTTATAGCGCAAAAATTCTGTAAGTGTATATAATTAAATCATTCTTTCAATTTGTGCTCGTCTGCTTCAGGGTAAGCTTCCAAATGGACAAGAAGTAGCAGTGAAAAGATTGTCTGCAGACTCAGGCCAAGGTGATCTAGAATTCAAAAACGAGGTCTTGTTAGTCGCCAGGCTTCAACACAGGAATTTGGTTAGGTTGCTGGGATTTTGCCTTTATGGAATAGAGAGACTTCTTGTCTACGAATTTGTTCCCAATGCAAGCCTTGACCACTTTTTATTTGGTTTGTACTGCTTAACTTTAAATCTTTTAGTTGCCCTAATCTTTTACACTGCCAGTATTTAGAAGTTAAAACTTTTTATAGATATGAAGCTTATTAGTATTTATTTTGTTTGTCCAATGAGAAAGCAGATTCGGTTAAACGTAGGCAATTGGATTGGGAAAGGCGTTCAAAAATCATAGGAGGTGTTGCTAGGGGAATTCTTTATCTTCATGAGGATTCCAGACTTCGGATCATTCATCGTGATCTCAAAGCTAGTAATATTCTACTAGATGCAGAAATGAATCCTAAAATCTCAGACTTTGGCATGGCATGGCTATTTACACTGGATGAAACTCGAGGCAGCACAAGCAGAATTGTTGGGACCTAGTAAGTTTTATAACTCTCACTAGATCGACTGTTATTTTTCATATCGCTGGGGCTTGGGAAGAATTCTTAAACATTTAACAAGAATAAAAGCTGCATCGAGACATAGGCAAATCTTCCCTTGAAATGTCACTTGAATTTTCAACATGTCATTGTAATCTCTTCTGGACTGGTTACCTCAATTTTATTGAAATAGGACTTTGTTTGTGTCTAGAATTTGAATTATTCGAGGTGAATGGTCATATACCTATAGTTTTGTTCTCAATTTGGTCACTAACAAAGGTGCATTGTCTGATGATGAAAATGAATTTTTTTTCCAGAGTCAGTTCTGGGAATGAATATGCACAATCTTGATCTTGTCTTGAACAATTTTTTTCTTGTCCAGAACAAAACTTTTCCCTTTTTCTTATCAGCATATGAATTCTCCTTGTTCAGAGAGGTTAATTACATATGATCTCTTGGCAGCATAATATAAGGTGTAGGTCTTAACTTATCAAACTTTTTGTTTGCTCAGCCAAGAATAGATCAATGGTCTAAGAGTTGTCTTCACATTGCAGCGAGATACATTCTCACTAAGGGAAGGCAGAAAAAAGAAAGCAGACATCAGGAGACCATAAATACCCAATTTGCAGTATAAATTGCAGCACAACGTTTTACTGTGTCTTCCTAAGTTCATTAAAAAATATTTCAGTTCTTTACTGGCCTTTACATGTGGTCTGAATTTTAACATCAAGGAGTTCCCAGTTTTGACATCTTATTGAGTGGCTGATCGCACCGTTTTTGGACAATAAACTCCAGAATTTATTTTTTGGCCTTTTTACCTGAGTCTGTTCATGTGAAGTGCAACATATATTTGTACCAAAAAAAAAAACAATCTTTAACAACTGAATCATATCTAAGTTGCAGAATGTCATGTAACTCTTGTTTATGTTTTCCAGTGGATATATGGCACCAGAATATGCGATGCACGGACAATTCTCAGTCAAATCAGATGTTTTCAGCTTTGGAGTACTAGTCCTAGAAATTTTAAGTGGCCAAAGAAACACTTCTTTCAGAAATGGAGAATCCGTGGAAGACCTTTTGAGCTATGTAAGTAACCAGGTCAATCAATTAAGTATTCATCAACCCTAAACTGGTCGGGATCTGCTACATATGAAATATATGTTACTCCCTCTACCTCCCAAATATAGTCTTTTGGTAAAGTAAATTTATTCCAAGGTACTTTTTCTTTTTCAAATTCACACTGCTCCAATAAGTTGAACGCTAACTAAGTGAGACGTTTAAGAGAAAAATAAAGATTTAATTTAGACAAAGGCTCTTATATTTTTTTCAGTACAAATACTCTTATGAGTAGGGTTGTTTAGTGTTTTTCTTAAGGGTTGTGAATACTCTTATGATCGGAGGCAGTATGATGATATATGATTCGTCTTATTCTGAGAATTGAATTATCACTGCAGACTTGGTCGAACTGGCGCCAAGGAACAGCTGCAAATTTGATAGACCCCATGTTGAGGGGAAGCACGGGACTGGTTCGTGACATAATGAGATGTATCCACATTGCTTTATTGTGTGTTCAAGAAAATGTGGCAGATAGACCAACTATGGCTGCAGT